GCTGCTGCTGCTGCTGCTGCTACTACTACTATTACTACTTATAATTAATAATATCATTGTACGAAAATAAAATCGACACAGTAGACATGATCTTTGCAGCCAGGCAGATCCAGGAAAAGTAGGCCTACATAGAGCTGAATTAATAAGTCTTATGCATAACCTTTGTTGATCTAACAAAGGCCTTCGATACCGTTAGTCGGGAAGGCTAGTGGAAAACACTGACAAAGTACGGTTGTCTGCCGAAGTTTATTACAGTGGTGCGCCAGTTTTATGACAGCATGAAAGCATATTGTATTATTTGCTCATGAAGAATCCAGTATGCAAAACTGTGTTCATCAATTTTGCAAATGCTTGTGAGAATTTTGGACTTACAATACGAATAGCAAAGATAGAAGTTTTCTTTCAGCCTGTTCCGGGTTATAGGCACCCCCACCCGCCTAAAATCAAAATACATAAAACACTGTACAATGCTGATAGCTTTAAATATTTTTGGCAGAACACTATCTTTAAATGTTCTCCACGAAGCAGAAATAGCTTTACGTATGCATATATAAAGATAGGGCATCCTTTGGACAACTCAGAGAAAGGGCTTGGGACTACTGTGACATTCGCACAGAGACGAAGTTGAAAGTCCACAATGCTGTGGTCCTCCCAACCCTGTTGTGTGTTGCCCAAACTTGGATGGTGTACCAAAGTCATGCCAAGAAGCTTAATCATTTCCATATTATGAAATGTCTCAAAAGAATCCTTGGCATCAAATGGCAGGATAAAGTAACAGACACCTAAGTTCTCAAAATGCAAATGTCGAGAGTCTGTTTTCGAAGCTCAAAAGGACTTAACTTCGCTCGGCTGGTCATGTTGTAAGAATGCCTGTTTTCAGAACCACAAAGGCAGTATTTTACTTTAAGCTCTCCACAGGGAAACGTACAGTTGGCGTGCAAAAAACCCGCTACAAAGACACATTGAAAATGTTTCTGTGGAAGACTACAACATTTTTAATACTTCGACATGGGAGAGCCTAGCTCTTGAAAACCCCAGGTGGAGAGCAGCAGTCACAGTGGGCAACAAATCCTATTACTGTATAATAAGGATTTTGGTTCTTTTTTTTTTTGTTGTTGGGGTTTTTTCTCGTGTTTTTTTTTGGGGG